ATTATTCCTCAAAAATACAACTTGCCTAATAATTCTGCACTCCCTGTAGAGACAAACCAGGAGAGATAAAACCCCTTTCAAACATGTACTCCTTTTTACCTGCCAGGATCTAAGTGTGAATGAGAATCCCAACTACTTTTTCCATTAAGTTAGGGCAACAATATCAGAGCTAGGGACAGAGCAAAGTATAATACATTATGTTTGAATTGGAGGAATGATGGCATGACCTCACCTTAGCAGATTAATGAAGGCAGTAATATTACATGTCTGAAAAGGGCTGTATTTTGGATCTGCCAGACATGAGGATCACAGGTTTACTGAGCTGCTGCAGCAGCCTGAAAACATATTCAACATATTTAAAATATACTAATGCCGATCAGATGATCCTCATGCCGAGAGAGAACATCTGTTGTGTCTGACAAGTCAAAAACAATGAACCGCAGCTGCAATGACAATCAGAGACTCTGCACTGTCATAAGGGAGGTACCGAGGGAACCTCCTCCATCTAGAGCAAAAACACAAACGAAAAAATTACACATTAGCAAACTGCAGTGTCACAGCAGCACATATTTGTTAAGACAGCATCACAAACAGTAGCCAAGAAACCCAAATTAAATATCCGTCATAACTGTTTCCACAAAGTTGTCACTGATGCAACAAAGAGTCACAAAAAGTTATCTTTCATCACCATTTACCACAAACAGAAGAGGATTTCTAGCCAACACCTACATTTCTCCGTATAAACAACATTCACCATTATCCATATTATTTTCCAACACTGCCAAATGCTTTCATCTTCAGCTCTCATCTTGCCTCAAACAATAGTGACTCACATGTACACACAGCAAATGTATGAATTACTCATTCGCATACACACACACACGCACGCACGCGCGCACACACACACAGCTACTGTATTCTCCAAATGCTCTTAAGGCAATGGTGGCCTGGCAACTGTGACTATTCAAGTAAATCTAAATGCATCTTCGTATGCATCTCTAACCCTTCATCTCTGTTCACCCCATAGACGCCTACAGCCTGAACGAGTTGCTCAGAAGCATGGGACACGACTATTTATCACCAAGAGACACGGTCAGCAGTTTCCCTTACAAAAACATCACAAAACGAAGAACAGTTCATTGTTATATGTAAACACTTGACAACATAGAATAGTGTACAAGCTAACTCTGCTAACTGCGCTTGTATTTGCGTGACGCTAAAAGGGTTTTTTTTATGCCTTCACATGTTGCCGCTGACATTCACGTCAAAATAGCTGCACTAATTCAAAATCTGCCCCCAAGACAGTAAACATCAACACTAATGAAACTATTCCCAGAATACTTAACTTTCAGACAGCACAACCTTTAATCATATTGTACAGCTTGATTTCTGTGCTCCACATAAATCATACTGATAGCAAAAATCACTAATACATATTTAATACACTGTAACAGTGAAGACTATATTAAAACATAACTCATTTTGCAGCTTGCTGTGCACGTGCATGATGACTGTCTGTTCATGTTGATGTTTTCCACAACAAAGATGCTTGTGACAGCTTTAAAAAGGGCAGCGGTGTGTTTTTCTGTGGTTTTTTTTGTTTCAACTTTTTTCCTTTTTTCCTTTAAAGATATTAAACTGTTTGTTATGTCATAAATGAGCTCCTTGCTTTATAAGATAATGCAATTAAAATGGCAAATCTGGTTTTGCAGTCTGGCAAAGATGATAATGTTTCCTGGCGCTCCAGACCTTCTGAGGCACCAAACGGCCCCAAATTTACAGTATAAATTCTGTAATTCAACTGATTATGATTTACAATCAAATATAACTAGTCAGGGAATGTCCTTCATGATTAGGGCGACAACATTAGTTTGCTGTTTTTATTTCTTATTTTTCTCGGGCAAAATTGAATGTATAAATAATCTTTACACACAAACACACAAATGAAGTAAATTTCAAACCCTCATTATAATTTCAAAGAAATCCTTTGAAGAATGATTTTCTCTGGCTTGTTGTTAAAACATTTATTTGAATGAATGATTAAAATCTCATTTAACACTAGTAGTTCAATTGTACCTCTATTTCCTCACAATGACTTTAACCTTGCTAAACTTTGTAAAGACAATGCACAACAGACACTTAAGAAAGGGTTAGGGGACAGATGCTTGTCTGGTTTCACGATGAAAATATAGTTCATTTATAGTTACTTCAGACAAAACATGCTTAGATACATGTATGCAAAATATCAGTATTTCGCTATCCTTAAATCTCACAGCTCTGCTGTCATTCTACACCTCATCCTGCCAAGATACAGCTTCTTGTCCAAGTCACCACCTGCTTCATCTTTGCTACCACCACCAGCGCCAAGACTGAAGGAGTTCTACCTCCTCCCATCATCCATCATCAGACGCAGCTTTGCTATGTAACTTCACCTGAGTCTAACTGCCAAATAATTTATAACTGAAACTTTGTATTTCAATGATTCCAATTTTCAGTTCATCCAAATAGTCATTTATCACTGACTATGGCTGCTGCTGCTGGTCATTTATATGTATTGAGCTATTTAAAATAGAAACAAAAACTATGTTAAAATGCCTTATTGTGTCATTATTATTATTATTATTATTTTTTAAATAATTAGTTATCTTAATGCTGAATGTGATATTAATCATAGCAAAGCCAAGATTTACATATCAGTTGGGAATCTGGACAGACGTTTATTTAACATTCAGATAACCGAGATTGAATTTTTACATTTATTTTCTTATCAGCATTTTACGGCTGGAGAGCAGATTTGCCATGAATGCCCCTGCCGCCGCTGCCCACTCAGGCAAATTTACTTCTCAGGCAGCTTTGCTTCCACTAAACAATTACAGCACTGTTCAAACTGTCAACCACGTGCACCAGAGAGTCCCTGTGCAACACCTGTGGACAGTATTCTTATCATTCTTCAGCAGCATTTCCCCTGAGCACAACTGCACCATGAGTCAGCTACACTAGTGTCAATACCCCAACATTTATTGTAACAAATGGCTACACCTTTATATAAGGGAACCACTCTAAAATGCAAGTAGCAGCTAGAGTTCATTGGAGAATTACCCAATGTCATGTATTGCAGAGACATGTAGTGAGTAAGGCTGAAGAAAAAGCTATTGTCATGCATGGAGCAGGGTATGTGCCATCGTCATGCATGTTAATAAGAAGCTGAAGCAAGAGGAGGCGAGGATGGTAGAGAAGTCAATCAATGCAACCACTTACAGGTTTGTATAGCCTTTAAGGAGAAGAGGGGGATGTGTAGCTGGCATGATAATTAAAGAATGTGTCACATTATAAAGGCCAACCCATTGACTGAACATGATTGATTACTCAATCTAATACAAGTCTGTGGTAGTGCATAAAACAAGAACAACATTTCTACTGTATGAACAGTGCTGAGGCTGGATGAACAGGCCATAAAAAACACATTGTTCACTTACTCTTCTTCACACTGACATTTAGACTGTGTGTAAGTGAAATTTACTAATGAGCGGTCCAAGCACAAACTATTCGTTATCACAGTTATTTTTAGAATGAGATTCATTTTCATGGCCAGTTTTAATTGCTGTGAAGGGAGAAAGCAGTATTTATTGGCATCTGTCCGTAATTGGTTGCGAGCAAATTCATAATTGAGCTGGAGTGTGTGTTTGTAGCTGATGGATGAGATGCAGTGGGCTGGGGAGTGAGGCATAACAACCTCTTTGACACTGCAGGGAAATAAGTCTGTTATAATTCTCCAGAACAAAAGTGCTCCTCTAATGTGGGAAACACCACCAGCAGATGCATAAATATCTCCCGTCTGCTGCTCAGTGCAGCGGCAGATCTGTGTTCACAAGGGAGGAATGTCTGCTTTACAAAGATTTAACAATGAGTTTGTCAGATCAGACTGAAAAACATAATTCCTTTTTCCGTGACATCACTTTCGTGTGCATACTTTAGATCAGAGATATACATACAAAAGCTAAATGTCCCTGTGGAAATCAGTAAAGCTCAAACACTGTCAGAGGGGTAGATGAATGTCTGCCTCTTGAATTTCAATGATGATGGGGCCTGAGCGTGCACAGTGACACATGGAGGATCTCTGTAATGTTCTGTTTGTCAATTTGTCCATGTGAGATCAGAGTTGTCTCAGTAAGATTTACTAGGCTAGTCTGGGTGTGTCAACAATATTGTCATTTGCTATATTTTCCATTATACATGCTGAGATTTCAGCTGATAAAATTATGTGCCCTAAAGTAGCTCTCCCACTGTAGGACATACATAAAAGGAAGTGTGCTGTTGCTCTCTCTCTCGCTCTCCCTGTATCTCTCGATAGATAGATAGATAGATAGATAGATAGATAGATAGATAGATAGATAGATAGATAGATAGATAGATAGATAGATAGATAGATAGATAGATAGAT